TTGTCTCATCCAAAAATGTGAGACAAGATGTCAAAATGACAAAAGTTGCAACTTTTTGTCCCACCTAAAAAGATGGGACAGGATCTGCAAATTTTGTCGATGCGACAAAAGTTGCAGATATTTGTCCTAGTGACCGATGTCAATAGGACAAAAGTTGCACTTTTTTGTCGTAATAAAATGGTGGGACAAGATCTGCAACTTTTGTTGATGCAACAAAAGTTGCAAATCTTTGTCCTTGTGACAATAGGACAAAAGTTGCAATTTTTTGTCCTACTACAATGGTGGGACAGGATCTGCAACTTTTGTTGATGTGACAAAAGTTGCAAATCTTTGTCCTAGTGACCGATGTCAATAGGAAAAAACTTATACTTTTTTGTCCGACCTAAAAAGATGGGACGTGGACTTTCTCTCAATCCCTCGTATACGCAAAAGACGTGGATGCCCTTTTTATCCTCAATCATAAAAAATATTCTTAGAAAGCTTGTCTAATTCTGACCATTTATGGTTTATATTCAGGTGGTTTTTTGCTTGGGAGAACTCTAGCTGCTGTTGCTACAGTGACTTTGAGTACATCAATGGCTGCAAGGCAAGGGCCAATTGCCATGGCTGCACATCAAATATGCTTACAAGTATGGTTATCTTCATCTCTCCTTGCAGATGCCCAAGCTTCAGCTGGCCAGGTAATTAATTAGTTAATTAAAAATATGTAATAATTTTATGTAATATTCATGTCGAAATATGTAATATTCACGAGTGTGACAAGAAATATGTAATTTTTTCAGGCTTTGATTGCAACTTCTTTCTCAAATCGAAATTACAGCAGAGTTAAAGAGATAACATTTTATGCTCTAAAGGTTCAATTTTTTCACTCTTAATAACAAACCGCATGGAGTTTTTTCATTGCGTTATGGATTTTTGAAATGGTTTGCTTTTTTTTTTTTTTTTTTTTCTATTGCAGACTGGATTAATAACTGGAGTTAGTTTAGCCATAATATTGGGTTTGTCTTTTGGTACTTTAGCCAAATTGTTCACCAATGATGCAGAAGTTCTATCCATTGTTAGATCCGGTGTACTGGTAAGTAGTCCTATCTTTTACGCCTTATTTGGACAGGACACAACAGAACAGAACAGGTTGTACTGTGTTATGCATTGTATGGAGACTGACACTGAGACTGATGTCAATGAAACAAAATTTGCAGGCTTAATGTACTATTAATGTCTAATCATAATCAATGACTTTACATTTCATTTATTTTTTTATTTTTTTTATTTATAGTTTGTGAGTGCGAGTCAACCCATCACTGCTCTTGCTTATATCTACGATGGTCTTCATTATGGAGTTTCAGATTTCTCGTATGCAGCATGCTCGATGGTAAGGACTAAGGACCGTTTTTCTTTTTTCTTTACTGTCTAAATGTGAGTAAATGACCATTTTACCCTTTTGTTTAGATGTTGGTGGGAGCAATGTCATCCGTGTTTCTACTCTATGCACCTTCGGTTTTTGGTCTTGCGGGAGTTTGGGCTGGCTTGACATTGTTCATGGGAATGCGTGCGATTGCAGGGTATATAAGGTAATAAGCCGGGATAATATGCTTATTGTTCTCTTTCAATTTTCAATTTTTAATTTTCAATTTTCAATTTTCAATCCCACACACATGACATGACACAACTTTCTTTTTCAATAAATCGATAAACTAATACAATAATAATTACATTGATTGAATTCACAAAAAGTATCATTGAGCAAAAGACGATTTAATTTAATTCGAGAAACCAATGAGAGATTTACGTTATTGTTTTTGCAGGTTAGCACAGAAAAATGGTCCATGGTGGTTCTTGCAGGCGATCCCTGCAACCGAGGTTAGTTGATTAGACATATAATATAATAATTACAAAATTTTAATATTTCTAAAATTGGTTTTAACTTTTTTCGTACTTATTTTATGCCACATCCGCACCGACTCAAGAAATTAAAATAACTATATAATATATTAACTACTTAACTAGAGAAATATAACAATAACAACAGATAATTTTATACTTCTAAATTCATTTAAGTTTAACTATGTTAATATTTACATTATTATAAAATAAAAAAAATACGTCTTATATTTTCTTTTTAGGAAGTTTTTTAATTTTTTTTTTGTATCTATTTCACGCTAAGTTCACTAAAAAAACAAGTGTTGCATGTCCAGTTTATATTTATGTTTACATAAATTGTTATTTTGTTTCTTTAAATTTATAATTTTAATATGTTGTTATAGTTTATCTAATTAACTAACGCATCAAACTGAATAAATGGCGAATTAAACATGAATGAAAAAAACTTCAAATTTGAGCTTGTAAATGCACAAATATTTATTATTTTTTTTAAATGTTCTTCAAAAAGCTCCACAATAGGAAAGTTGCTATTTGGGAGCATATTCGACCCAAATAATTAGTAGAAACAAACATTTATCCATAGTTTACCAAAATTAAAATACATTTACACCATCTTTGATATTTATTTTGTGAGTTTCATTTTAGTAAACTTTTTTTTGTAGATCGCTGTTTCACAACAAACCTAATGAAGAAAGACATGGCTCCACCTACAAAGTACAAAACTTGCCAATTAATTTCACATTAAGATTTGGCCTTAACAACATTTGTGCTAAAAGTTCTGAATGGGTTAAGACATAAAAATGGCTATCTGGAAGGCTTATTTTGTTTCTGCTGAAGTGGGTGGCCTGCTATAAAGGCCATGATGTTTTGTCGCTATGTACAGCTTGATTGTTTCTAGAAATTGACTATGATATTATTTTGGAATTTTATATATCAAAAGGGTTGTAATTTGAATAAATATTTTATTAAACTATTACAATTTACCAAAAGATTGAATTAGTATTATGGACCACATTTGACATTTAGTTTTTATTTTTGAATCAGTCAAAAATTTATTATTTGACCATTATTTGCAATGTTATTTGAAGGTTTTCTTGTTTACCAATTTTATTTTGTTTATGCATAGCTAAAAAAGTCAATTTTTATTCAAGGTTTATTGGGGCATAAAAAACATTAAGGATTTATTTATGTAACAAAAATATATTTATAAGATGACAATTTATATAGTTATTGTTCATTTGTTACCAAAATAAGCTGGTAATAGATTTGTTTTGTTATATAAAAACCACTATATTATTTTTTAATACACTAAAATCCTTATATTTTCTTAAATTATTGTTTTAGGTTTTCAGACCTCAGAAAAACTTAATCTATTTTCACGAAATAATTAAAAAAACCATTATGTTATTTTTTTAGTGCATTTAAACCTTTATATTTTTTTTTGAAAATTTTTAATCTAATGAATTGTAACAATCAAAACGTTGAGAATCGATTACCTAACATTTTTTGCTATCTAGGATTTACCGACCTCAATATCTTAAATGATACATTTTAAAAAATATAAGGGTTTTAACATACAAAATAAAAAGTTTAATGATTTTTTTAAAACTTTGATAAAAATATATTGGGTTTTTATAAGGTTTTCCCTTATATAAATTGGTAAAAGCTCTCGAATCTATGGACACGCAAAAGAAAACATGCATAACTGAATGATAACAAGCTGAAAACATGAATATAATTTTAGCTCTTTTTTAAATTCTAGTATTTATGTATGTAACAAAAATATATTTATAAGATGACAATTTATATAGTTATTGTTCATTTGTTACCAAAATAAGCTGGTAATAGATTTGTTTTGTTATATAAAAACCATTATATTATTTTTTAATACACTAAAATCCTTATATTTTCTTAAATTATTGTTTTAGGTTTTCAGACCTCAGAAAAACTTAATCTATTTTCACGAAATAATTAAAAAAACCATTATGTTATTTTTTTAGTGCATTTAAACCTTTATATTTTTTTTTGAAAATTTTTAATCTAATGAATTGTAACAATCAAAACGTTGAGAATCGATTACCTAACATTTTTTGCTATCTAGGATTTACCGACCTCAATATCTTAAATGATACATTTTAAAAAATATAAGGGTTTTAACATACAAAATAAAAAGTTTAATGATTTTTTTAAAACTTTGATAAAAATATATTGGGTTTTTATAAGGTTTTCCCTTATATAAATTGGTAAAAGCTCTCGAATCTATGGACACGCAAAAGAAAACATGCATAACTGAATGATAACAAGCTGAAAACATGAATATAATTTTAGCTATTTTTTAAATTCTAGTATTTTTTTTGTCAATGTTCCAAGTAAAATAATTATTTATGATCTTTAAATATAGTTTACTTTTTTTTTTAAATTGTTTTAATTTATTTGGGATATAGAGTAGAAACATTACAAAAATCTCAAATAAATCTAAATGAGGGCCAAATTTATAAAAGAAAAATATTTTGGGGCTAGATTTGAAAATATTTATATAGAAATGCATATTTTTTTCTTGTGAATTGTTAAAAACATCCATTGTTTTCTTTGATCAAATCTACTCTAATAAATAAAAATATTTTTTCCATATGACACATTTTCATTTATTTTGTCATATGTCATTTTATGGGTATTTTAAACTAGTTTTTTTTTCCTCATGTCATTTTATGATTTTTTTATATTTTATTAAATTTCACATAGTATTTAAATGTAATAATAATACATATCAATTCCATTAATGAACTTTGTTTCTAATTTCAAAAATTTAAAATTAAAGTCTCATGAGTTTTCTTTAATTATTTATCTAAATCTAAATTACTTACTTAAATTCAAATGAAAAAAAAACATTTTAATTTTAATATTTCAATATTTTTATCATTTTTATTATAAATTCAAACTCTTCTCAATGTTAATGTTTAGAATTACATATTTAAATTTTCTTTTAAATAGCCAATCTGGGACTAGTCCATTTGGTAAGTTTTGCCTTTTAGATTAAGGTCTCGAATTCTATTCCGGGTGTTAAGGTTTCGTGAAACTAACTGTTTTCGTACACTAACTCCTAACCATTAACCACGCCATTAAAAAAAAAATTCTTTTAAATAAACTCACTTTTTAATCAATTACCCAATTCATTTACAAAACACGTGTACATCTGATAACACACAACAGCTTCACATGGTTGTACTTTGTGCATCTCAAGAAATACTTCCGAGAGCTTTCGCCTTTTCCTTGAGCAAAAACTTCTGCACTTTTCCGGTCGACGTTCTCGGCAACTCTTCAAAAATGACGGTTTTCGGCGCCATATAACGCGGCATCCGATCACGACAATACTTAATTATATCCTCTCCGGCGACATTAAACCCATCCTTCAATTTCACAAATGCACACGGCGTTTGCCCCCAGTGATCGTCCGGTCGTGCCACCACCGCCACCTCCAGCACCGCCGGGTGACTGTAAATCACGGTTTCAACCTCCACCGTGCTTATGTTTTCTCCTCCAGATATGATAATATCCTTCGACCGATCCTTAACTTCAATATACCCGTCTGGATGTTTAACAGCCAAATCACCACTCCGGAACCACCCGCCGGAAAACGCCTCTTCGGTTGCTTTCTTGTCCTTCAAGTATCCACTCATTATTGTATTCCCCTGAAACATAATTTCCCCCATCGATTTCCCATCAGATTTTACGCTTTCCATAGTCACCGGATCTTTAACGTCGACTCCCTCCAACCCTAGATGCCTCACTCCTTGTCGTGTTTTCAGCTTAAATCGCTCTTCCACCGGCAATACATCCCATTCCGGCTTCCATGAACACGACGTCCCCGGACCGAATGTCTCCGTTAAACCATACAAATGAGAAACACGAAACCCTAACTCCTCCATCTTTGAGAGGATTAGCGGAGGCGGCGGCGCACCGCCGGTCATAATCTCGACCTTGTGTGGGAGCGGTTTCCGGTCAGCTTCAGGACAGTTGATTATCATGTTCAGAACCGTCGGAGCTCCTCCCATGTGTGTTACCTTGTGGAGATCAATGTTGTCGAATATGTCTTTAGGGTCACACCGCCGGATGCATATGTTGGTTCCGCCGACGGCCGCCAGCCCCCAGGCGAGGCACCATCCGTTGCAATGAAACATAGGTACAGACCAAAGGTAGGTCGGCATTGCTCCCATTCCGTGCATGAACACGGTGGCGATTGAGTTGAGATACGCACCACGGTGGTGATAAACCACCCCTTTAGGTCTGGACGTCGTTCCTGAAGTGTAATTTACACTGATTGGATCCCATTCGTCGGCTGGTCGGACTACAGAGAATCCGGTAACTCCACCCTCTACTAGGCTTTCGTATTCGTAAGCGGTGGTGGTTAGGTCAGAGGGTGGCGGAAGGGGGTCGTCGGAGATGATAACAAGGAGAGGTGGTTTTTTGAGAAGATTGATCGCAGGCAAAGCAATGTTTAGTAGTTGATGATCTACAACGAGGATTTTGGTCTCTGAGTGGGTGAGAAGAGTTGCGAGCATGGTGGAATCGTGGCGGGTGTTGAGAGTGCAGAGGATGGCTCCGGCCATCGGAACTGCGAAATGCAGCTCTTGCATCGCCGGAACATTGGGTGCTAACGTTGCAACCTGCGGTGGCAGTATAATAAGTGTATAACTAGAAAGTTGAATGAAAGTATAGTGTAAAACCGGGAAAAAAAATAAAAATGTAAAACAATTAAAAGTTGACAAAATTAAGAGTTTTCTTGACTAAGTGATTATACTTATGAAAAAAAAAAAACATGAAAAAATATAGAATAGAAAATTTCATATATAAGTTATTTTTATAATATCCGTGAACTTTCATACCTCTCAAGTTTGTTTTTAATTATTATATAATATTTTATTGATATTTAATTAAATATAATAATAATTTTCTGTTGAAACTGTATTGTTATTCTCTGAATAGTTTTATTTTGCATCTAACGACATTTGTTTGCATTTATGACCACTCTTGTTTTATTGATTTAGTTTTTATCAATAATAATTTAATATCATATAAAAATATATCAAATAACATAAGAAAAGTCCAACGATATAAAAACGTGGTATATAGTAAAATCATATAAAAACAAAATGTGTAATTTTGTATACTATATGAAAGATAGAATTTAGTTTAAAAAAGTAACTTTTTAAATAAAAAAATGGATGTCTGTACTTTGTAGCACCTTTTCATTTAGTCTAAAATTTTAATTTCACTTTTACAATTTTTTATCCACAAATATAAATAAACATTTCAATCTTAATTTTAGTATATTGTTTGAATAATTATAATAATAACAATAATAATAAATTATTGAATTGAAGAAATAAACTTCTATTCGAGAAAGAGAAGCCGATGAGCGCATATAGTAATTAATAATGTGCAAGGGTTGTTTGTTTTAACTTCGATTTATTTTCCGAAATTTTTTATAAACTCATTTTTTTTTTCTGTTTATTTTTCAACTTATGAGCTTATTATAACTTATACTAAGAAAAGAATCTGAACTTATGAAAAATAAGCTAGAAAAAAATAAGTTTATAAAAGATATGATTGAAAAATAAACCCTTAATAAGTTAAAACAAACACCTAAAATATTATTACTAATCATAACAACAAGAAAATTATTATTATTAGAATGAGAATAACAAGCATGATTATAATAATACAAACAAAAAGTCCAAACATGGTGATTATATTATTCTGATTTAAAAAAAAAAAAAAAAAAAAAACTAGGTGGTCTGTGATTATAGGAAATACATTTCAGCGACCAAATACGGAATACCTACTTCTTCAACGACTTACATGTATTTTGCATTATTCTTAAAATCTAACTATTATTCTATTAATGATCATTATTAGATGCTAATTAGATTCATTTTGATCAATAACTTCATTTATAAAAAAAAACAGTATCATTTAGTTTATTTGGTTTAGATTGAGAATCTAACTATTGCGCCATGAACACAACGACGCAAAAATCTGCAAATCAGATTAAAAAAAAAGCCATGGATTCCGGTGAAAAACTTACAACGTCGCCACGAGAAATCCCTAATTGAGTTAAAGCAGATGCGAGCTTCACACACCTTCTGTGTGTTTCTTCCCATGTATACCTCAGAGATCCATAAATCACGGAGGTCCGGTCTCTGTAAACATCCGCCGATCTCTCCAAGAAGCTTATCGGTGTAAGTGGAACATAGTTCGCCGAGCACCGGACCAGTCCTTCCAGCGATCGCCATGATTCCCGCTGCAAATCGTCGGTGGGTTCAGACAACTGGGACAATTGGGAGTATTGACGAGACCGGTGATGATGAAGATGAGTAGGATTTGTTTGAAATTGGTTTAATGTCGCCGGAGTTGGACGGCGGAGGAGCCATGGCTTTGACTTATTGAGGATTTTGTACATGGTGATGGTGGGGACTTTCAGGGACAAGGTTTAGGGATCAAAACACGATGAGGAGAATGAATTTGTACTCTTGTTATTATAGATAGATAAGTTGGACAACCCGTGTGTACTCATGTACTTTGACTACTTCAATTTTTATATTTTTAATGAATTTTTATTTTTCTAATATCTTTTTATGTGTATATTTAGATATTTTTTACGTTATTTAAAACTAATTGTTCAAAAATTATCATTTTGATATAATATTGCATGTTAATATATATATATATATATATATAGATATATATATATATATATATATATATATATAGATATATATATATATATATACTTAGGTTATTTTATTCAAAATAAGTATTGTGTTATTGTATGTATAATTGTGGACCAATCATTTTATTTAATTTTGGAAAGTGAATAATACATATTATTAAATTAAATTTAATTAAAAAATACCAACTAATTTCATTCTAAGGGTATTTTAGTCAATTAACATAAATTTAAAAAAAAAAAATTACATATTTTAAGGAAAATAGATTCTATTAATTTTAAAAATATGATTGTATAGATGATAATTCTCTTAATTCGAAAATTCTGACGGAATATGTTTATCAATATATTGAAAAATAACAAATATGATTGAACCATACAATAATTACACATTCTGACATAATATATATTTTGATTTAATGAACTTCTTGAAGAATAACAAAATTTTGGATACAAGTTAAAAAAAATTTCATTACATTCTTAGAAAAGAAAAAAAAATTATATATTATTCTATGCAAATGTTACACTTATTAATAACACAAAAAACACAATATATGAATCATTCTACCATAATATACTATTACATATATATATTTTTTCATTATATTGTATATTATTCTGGTAGAATAATCCATTATTTTTGAAAGATTGGTGGTCATTGTTCATCTTCATCCCATACAATGTTCATCTTCAAAATTCTATTCTCACAGAATCAGAATTCAAGATTTCATTCCAGTAGAATGTTGTAAGTTTCATATGTACCATGTTTTGCTTTGATCTCTCGTTTCGTACCTACAAAAATAATGGTATTCAACACTTGATCATTATAAACCAACAATCTAAGATAAAATTCAAGCATAAAGAAGCAAACCAAAATAAAGTCACGCAAAACCCATTAAAGAGAAATGGATTCGTGATTCCATTCCAACAGAATTATAATTCATGATTCCATTCCAACAGAATTGGATTTGTGATTTCATACAATTCGTGAACAAATGCCAACAGAATTAGAATTCATGATTCCACTCACCCCTCTCTTCTACGTTTCCTCTTAATGAACCTCATGTTTCCTTTCATTCTACATGGATTCCGGTAAAGAAATACAAGAACAATCTTGTTCTTGCCCTTATGTACCCAACAAACCAACAAAAAAAAAGAGGGCATTTCCCCCATTCGTTCAAAAAAAATATATTTTTATACCAAAGAAAGATAAAATTGGATTTTAATTTTAAAACACATGCTTCGTAGTTCATAGTTCATAGTTCATACCCAAAGGAAAATTAAGCATAGCTTGAATAACGGTCTTGAATAAAAATTGAAAAGGTTGGTTCAAGCATTTTATCGAGTAGTTGGTGTGCATCCTAAGAGCTACAATCAAATCTCATAACGAAGGCATCAAAATATCCCTTATTCATTTCATCTTTACTGACCAAATTCACACAAACTTCAACAAAAATTCAACCACATCTTAGACAATAATCTGTGACAACCGTCAGTTTTGGCCAAGTCAAAGTCAACTAAAGTCAACAAGTCAAACCGGTCAACTCATCTAACCCTTGTATATTAGGGTTTCCATTATGTTTCTTATCGAACAACTCGCAATCTTAATACAAAGTATCACTTAGAGTTTTCACGTGTTCGGAAATTCTAAACCCTAATCAGGGCTAGTGATGAAACTACTTGATAAAACATTATTCCTTGACCCTCGGGGGCATATAACATTCATAACAAGGCTTAACAGAGTGTAAGAACCTTGCGTTGCAAAGCCAAACACTCAAAAAGGTCACAAAAGAAGTCTCTCCCAATCTCTTTCACTCTAACTTTCCCAAAACTCTCTAAGTAGGAGAAATCGCTCCAAGAATGTGAAATCTCTCTCTGTATGAGAAATCTCTCCAAGTGTGTGAAATCTCTCCCAAATCTCTCCAAGTATGTGAAATCTCTCCCAAATCTCTCCAAGTATGTGAAATCTCTCCCAAATCTCTCTCTGTATGAGAAATCTCTCCAAGAATGTGAAATCTCTCCCAAAACTCTCTCTATATGAGAAATCTCTCCAAGAATGTGAAATCTCTCCCAAAATCTCTCTCTGTATGAGAAATCTCTCCAAGAACGTGAAATCTCTCCCAAATCTCTTTCAAAACCTCTTTTGAGTTTTGTAATCATTTGGGGCATCCCGACACTTGACTTGGTGAAAAACCATTCGAAAAGGGGTGATACCTTGGAAAATAGCCTCTTAGGGCCGAAGTCCCTCTATAGGGACCAAATCCTCCTTGAGCCGAAGCCCCAAGAACCAAGACCGAAGTCCCCTTGAGTAGTCGCAGCCATCGAACCGCAGCCATCGGACCGCAATGACTTAGGACTGGAACTACTGAGGACCGAGGCTGCTGAAGACCGGAACGCTGAACCGCACCCGCAACTGAACACCACACCTGACCCCGCCTTCGGTCCCTTCGGACGAGTCCGCCTGCGGTACCTGCTCGGACCGAAGCCCCTTCCCCTCGGATCCAATGCACCAACCAAACCACCCTTCCGGTTCTAATACTGCTAAGACCGAAGTCCCTCGCCCTGACTTCGGATTTTCCGTTTTTCACCCGGTTTTCGACCACTACTACTACTCCTTTACTAACTCCGTTTTTTTTTTCACGATTTTTGCGTGGGATTTTCACCCAAAATCATGTTTTAACATATAAAACCCCATACTTCATGAATAATCACGTTTTTTAGTGTAAATCTTATCCAAGAAGAGTGGGTGAAGTACTTGAGGTGGAGTGTTGACTTTACTTTAGTTTATGACACAAGCAACCACCCACACCCACTCCATGACCAGCCCACACCCCCCACCATACCTGGTCATTCATCATCCTTTTCCTATCATTTCCCAACCCCATTCCTTGTCTAAGGCTGAAATCTATCCTTTCTCCTAACACTCTCTCTCATTTTCTCATTCTTCCACCAAAGATTAAACACATTTCTCTCTCAATTCTCTCACTAAAATTCGAGATTCAAGGGCCTTCTTCCAAGCTTTTCTTCCACTTTTGGTAAGTATATTCATCCTCCATATAATTATTTCACTTCCTTCTACTCATATCATAGATATTTTACACAAACATCATCACATTCATGTTAGATCTTCGAACCTTCAAGGCATCTTCTTAGTGTTCTTGAGTTGAACACTACCTTTCTCCATCATCCATCTACTGAAATCACTCAAGGTGAGTTCATACCCCTATCCTTTCATGTTTTTCTTAAGTTTTAAGGGGGGGGGGGAATACAAGTTAAAACACCAAGAACACAACTAAACTCAAACAACAGCTTTCATCAGAAACGTTGAGTCTTATTCACGGACTGTTTTGACTATCTTAAACTTAATATCTTTCAAAACTGTTTAATATGCAAATCGTTCAGCTTCATACCTTAAAAATGACTACTTGCAAATCTCCATACGATTTTTCTACGATTTATGGTGATTTTTACAAAACTGCCTATCATTTCAGAAACGAATTCGGACCAGTCTGTGAATATGAACATTTTAACACAAGTTAAAGACTTCTAAAAATCATAATAAAAATTATGAATAAACTAGACACATTTTGTGAACTCTCAGAATTTACGGATTCAGTTTTCGAATTCGTATGATTTTTCTATAAGTTCTCTAAAACAGTGTAGAAAGGTTAAAAACTAGTTAACAGCTTACAACTTTCATAACACTTTGTAGTATGTTGAGCAAAGTGCATAACAATAAGTTCTAAATAATGAATGTATTTTCTTGTTAGTTTATCATCATAAACTGAAATTTAGTCATTCATGATAAGGTTTACTCATTCGTTTCGAACACATATAATAAACTCCAATAAGCATAGTTTATGGATTTTTACTACATGAAAAAGGTTTTACTCTCAAAACAAATGGGTTTTTCATATCCTACGGGATAAACTATAATAGTAATAGTTTAAGGATTTCATATCACTAATTGATTCAGGAAAAGGTGATTTTACTTCCTTCACGGAAGAGGTTTTAATATCAAACTATGTGTAAACTAGTTAACTTAGGTTGTGAGGCAATTCTCTCCCCGTACGTTCGAATACGGGATCCCAATTCCTGTAAGTTATAACCAGAGTCTCTTGTAGGGAGAGCGTGATAATTGTGTATAGATCTATATTGGGTTTGACACCCCACACCTTGCTGCTAGCTACAGCGGGACCTGCAGGTCTACGGGTGACAAGAGTCATAGTATCTTAACGTCTGAAAGACGTTGTGCAGGTTATTTCTCGTCATAGTATGGTTATAGCGACTCACATAGGTAGTTAACAATCTTTCAAGTTTACATGGAAATTTCTACTTTGAAAAAGGGTTTACCTCTAAATCAAACGAGTTTATGTCGATTTAAACTTGCATGAATCACTTTAAGTATGTAAAATACTTGTTTACTTTCGGTCCTGGGATTTAGGACCACATAACTTTTATAAAGAAAATATAGGATTTTTTGGAAACATATTTCTGTTAAAACTACATTTCTTCTAGAATTGTTAGATTTCAGCTATAATTGCTAAGTGTATATGCTAGAGTTATATAAGAATCTAGTCACAATCGACTTAGAATTGGTGGGCCCGCCTCATCTCCTGTTCCTTGTTTGGTTGTGGACCTAGGACAGACCCATTACATTCAACGGTTTATTTAACTTGAATTTTATATAACTTATATACGCTGGGCGATTATAGGAGGAATCTACGGGTCGTTCTAGGGTTCATTATCGCATAACATAGGAACATTCATTTCACACTTAACTAAGAAAATATTGGATTTTCTGGA